AACAAAGGATTTCCTCTGAAACGTTAAAACAATGTCTTAGTATGGAACGCCTGGACAGTCTTATGTTAAGAAGGTAAACATATACCTTGTTTAAATTTCGTTTCTGTTGAGTCTGAAGATACAGTTATTGTGAACAAACCAACCAAACAAAATGATTAGTACCACCCAACTGTTTATTTTCATAATTGAACATAATGAGAAACCACGCACCAAAAACAGCATGTTATTGTAACCGAACATAATAACTGTAACACCCCGTACCACTTTCATTTTAACTCAACAGAATTTTGTGACCAAAATGCCTGATTTTGTTTTAAGAACGAACATGCGGCTTTCCCAACAATACAATGGACTTGGCTGAATAAAATACTCAGCACACAACATTACACTTTCAATAACTGAGCACATTGGGGGGTTTACATCCAGCATATTTGGGTTTTTCACAAAGCATATTGTTTCTCAGACTCAACAGAAGTGGCCATTTAACACAGCTAATATTAGTCATTCTACACATAAGACAGTCCTGCGTTCCATTTCTTTCACCCATTAAAATGTTTATCGTGGCTTGCGAAAAAAAGAAAAAAGGCTTAACGTAATTTTAAATGGACTTTAACCCTGACATAGTTTACTTAGAGCAACAATGATAAAAATATAAAGATGGTTCAGCTTTGTTACCAATGGATATCATTTTAAAAAATGTCAAGGCTCAATTGGCTCTATGAATTTTCTTTTTGTTTTGGTTAAATGTTGCATGCTCAGATTTAGAGAAGGCTTATTTCATAAAGCACATTATGATATGCCCCTGAATGACTCACAAGGATACCATTTAGTAATTTCTAGAACTGCGTAAAGAATAAGATGAAGAGCAAGAAAACGAATGTTATTTGCAAGGGGGCGTGAGGGATTTTGCCCTTTTGTATTATAAGTTACCCCTCATGAACCAACTCAATCAAATCGACGCTGCAATTTTCAAGCTTCCGAAGGTTTACAAGTTTTCCAGATATTTCTTTGTCATTTGTACTGATTGTTTTTATGACAATGTTAAAATATTTTTTTTTTGACATTCTTAAACCCCATTTTATGACATTTTTTCAGAGATTGTATTACATGCTAAATGAAGATTACTTCTATTCAAACTGGAAAGTTCTTCAACCTTCTGTACACGGAATAGTTGAAATCTTTTAAATATTGTTCTTCATTAATTTTCTATAATTATATTTAATATATAAACAGCTAGAGTGTTACATTATTTAATATGATAAAGAAAAATAAAATAAACAAACACGCAAACATGGCTTGCAATTTCTTTTGCATATTATTAATTGCCACACCATTAGGGTAATTCCCCTATTTATGATATTATCTTTGATATTACTTAGGTTTCTTTTGCAAATACTTGCTATTCATCTAAGTTCCTATGTTCCTTATTCCTCCATTGGACTCTCTAACTTACCAATTAAACGTTTGTACTTGATATATATTTTTCAAACCATTTCCTTATAAAGGAGTGGGAACACATTTTTCCCGCATTGTAGTCACGTAAATTTCAGTATAATGTATTATAAAATGTTAATGGGTTATAGTCCCTTTTTTTTTCAATTTTTTTTCATTTTATATTTGTAGGATCCCCGTTCCGAGTGGTTAAACTCGTTTAATCTTCAAAATTGTCCCCCATCCTGGGATTAAACCCGCCAGGGAATTGTTTAGTGTGCAAGAAACCATTCAGCTAGCTTTCGGATTTTATAAGTCGTGGTTCTATTAAGGTGCCAGATCGTGCCTGTAACAATTCAAGGAGGGGTTATTTTTTCCGTCAGTAAAGCCATTAAGCGAAGACAGTTCCATTCAAGGATCACGATTGAACAATAATTATAATTAATATTTACGTACGTTTTTTTAAAGAAAGAAAATGATATCTGTTTTTAAGAATCGATTAATTTGTTTCGTGAAGCACATTTTCAATTTATGCTAGATTGTTTAAAACACAACAGCTACTGATTACATTATGACAAAGGGGACTTAGACAGGAAAAGACAGTACATGAGTTTGCTATCATTTGAAGGTACTGAAAAGCGTCTGGATGCAAATCAGATTCATACACTTAGAACCCATTTTATTTTTAAGTCTTTAAAGATGAAATATCATATTGTGTGGCCCTTGTCGTGAAGAATAACAGATACACATATAATGTGGCCTTAATAGTCAGGCAAAACAATGAAACATCAAACATGAACACTTAACAGCATTACATAACACTTTGTTCGCCAATGATAATTTAGCACGCTACATTCCTACTCTGAATCGTTATAAAAAGGGCGTATATGTCCGTATTTCCATCAATCTCGATCTTTGTGCTACTGATACCTTTCGTAAAAGAAGACAGAGACCATGGTGAGTGATACTTTCTTAACTTTGAAACAAATTATATATTTTAAATTATCATATATTTTGTTTCTGCATTTTTGAAAAAAATATACAGGAGTAATTGAATTTATTTCATGTTTTAAAGCAAAGAGTGTAAATATAATTCGACAATTCACAGTCTAATTAAAAAAAATATGTTTCACATTTTTCATCTAAATGAGGTTATGAATGGCAAATATCATGAATAAATGAAAAATGATAATTTACATTTAAATGTGATTTAAAACGAGCGGCAAAGAAATCATAGACATACTTCTACACAGCATGTTAAAAATGAAACATAAATGGATAAAATATTTCTTTTTTTTCCAAACAGAAACAATGTGATGTCATGATGTGATGTCATGGTTGCTGTTACGCAACCAAAAATAAAATAAAAAATAAAAAAAACGCATGAAATATTGATTGGCATGTAAGATTTTATTTCACATGTAAACACAGTTAATGTAGTGTCCTTAGAGAACACTCTCATCGTATTCAGTCAGTTCACTGCTAAGAAAAACTAAAACTGCTGAATCGAGCTTGTCAAAATTAAACACACCAGCTAAAATGGTAACAGATGAGAATGCACATAAACGTTGAATTTTTAAAACCTTAAGTTCAATTTCTTTTATTTACATCGTGACAAAATGATTTGTATCACTGATGCAATCAGTAATGATTTTTATCCCCTCTTTTAAGGCGAATAACTAAATAAATACATAAATAACTGACGTTCCTTTATTGGTAGTTAACATTATTATAATTGTGCAACATTTCTTTAAATTGCCTTATCTTGTTTCATTTACTTGTTTTTCGTACTCAGCATGGCAATAACTGTACTACTTTTAAGAATTTCCTCTCACCAAGTAAATGTATAAAAGTACAACCTTAAGCTAACTTCTTCGCGAAAAGGGGGGACTAATTATGTAAAACATGGCTCTAGTTACTTTTTTAAAATACATTATTGTCACTTCGACTATACGCTTCCTTAAAACTTGTTTTTTATAAGTCTTAAGATATACTTTTTTCTTTCATCATTTTCTCTTAATATTCCTGCAAGTGATTAATGAGGCATGCAATAATAATTATATTATTATTATAATTGCTATTTATTAATACATGTAAACTCCTCAACATTCCATATGATTATCAATGTAATCGTTTTTATATCTATTATAATTATAACTATCATTAATAATAATAATAATAACTATTATTATTATCATTTTATAATCTAATTAAAGTAAATAATTATAATAACTATCACTTATAATTTTATTTGTATTTTCAGAAGGTGACGGTATTTTTGGTAGTTATGCTAGTTGTCGGTTGTTTGTCCACAGACGACATTTTAAGAAGGGGAAGCGACAGTAACAGTAAAACAAAAAGATGGGACCATTCATTTAATACGAAGTTTGGACGGGAAAACGGAGTTCCATATATCACGGGAGAGTATACTCTAGGCCACGATAACTTTGAAACTTCAATCCATGGAACTGTTTCGGGGAATGGGAACTGGGAAGTCGGGGCTTCTGTAGAATGGCGTTTTAAAAGAAATGCTAAAACGGTAACATTTGATTTGTTAAGTACCGAGTATAGTAACTATCTTTAGTCTCAAATTATTGATTGTACTTGTTGAGTTAAATTGCCCGAAACATAAACACCTTGTATACACTGTTTAATTCCATGATAGATTATTTCATATTTTAGCACTCATTGCCTTTTAAAAGATGACAACCGTAATATATCTTCAGGTTTTATATTGTACAAAAAACACTTGATTATTATAAAAAATTACTGTTTTAATTTATTACACTTTTTTATTATCTATAAACATATTTTGTTTCTTAGATTATCTGAAATTAAATAGATAATTATGTTATGGATTTCAGAACGGTAAAAAGCTTTATAATGTCTCATTCCAAATTGATCCATGCGACTTTGTAACATACGATCTGGATAAAAATGACGAAATTGTCCTTGGTGAAATGCATGCCATATTTGGTGACAGTGAGATGGCACTAAGACTATATATCGACATGGATGGAAATGGTTTGTATATGATAATATTCTTTTTCTACAGTTACTATATTATTTTACTACTTTAAAATTTACAGAAGTTTGAATCATCAACAAAAAAGAGAGCTGAGTTTGAGTGTGCTTTATTTCAGAGAAATGTATATTTCGTTTAATAACGAATTTATTCTGCGATACGTTCGTGGAACTAACAAATACCAAGCAACGAAATGTATTGTTTCACAATGTAACACATGTATGCTCATGAAGGATTAGAGTCCGGCGATTAAATTTTCAGCCTGGTGGCTCTCCCGCTCAACCATGGCAACACTTATAAAATTAGTATATCTATATTGAATAAGAGAGTAAATATTCTTCTGTTCACCGGCAAGCTGGAACGTACATGTACACGCTATTTATTTTATGATTCTTCTTTTCATAATTTATCAAATGAGAATTATATCTGTAATTTTAAAATAGATAATTCACTTGTCCCTTTGATGCTTGACACACCTTGTTCAAAGAAAGATAAACCTTCTTCTATATGCGGAACGAATTTTCTGCAAATACTTCCAAGAGAACATAAAAGTTTAAAACCAGAACAATAGTTTGGGTTAAAATAAATTATAATTGTACATAAATAAAGACTATTTCAAGATCATCAAACTTAAACAAGAACATGGTTTGTCCAACAAGGTAGGGAGAGAGTTTACACTGAACTACTTTCAAATGCATACTTTTAAGACACACAATTATATTTTGTTTTATTTATCTATTTGTAGGAAATGCGGTCATTGAAAAAGAAGAATTCTACAGGCAAGCTCCACAGTTCATTAAGGAATGCACTGTCCTCGACCCAAAGGGTGAAGATTAAAGCGTCTTAAAACAAGCTTTTTGGCAAAAAGAAAAAAAAAGAAGAATATAATTAAAAGAGAAAAAGAAAAAAAAAACAAGCAAAGATTAGTTTTATTCCAAAATAAGACATTACAACAATTAATCCGGAATATGGGGTTTCCTTATATTATATAATGATACACATCAAGTTTAAAAAAACTGAAGTGAAAACGAATATGTGTTGTTGACTTGATATTTTTTTATTAAATTTAACAAAATATTGACAAATTAACCATAACCTGTTTATTTGTATGATGTATGAAAGTGATGTATTTTCTTAAATAAAATGACGTAAAACAAAATTATAATGGTATATTTGATGATGTCTGTTTTACCTTATTTAATTATGATTAAAATGTTCTACCAATAATGTAAAATAGATAAATACAGAATCCCTAAAGAAAGCCCAACACGGCAAAATTGAAAATGTTGCAGGCTCGGTTTGATTGAGCCTGTTCATGGACGGTACTGGAAAGTGCAAATTACCGTCCACGCCCCCTAGCACCGGCTTAAGCAGAATTCAACATATAAACGTGAAATAGTAAAAATTTTGAATTTAGAAACATCGCAGATGTGTTCATACGGCGGTTATCATGGAACCTTCAATGTGACACTTCCGTGCCATTCCATGAAAAAGCGGCGTATGGTCCCCAAGTAATAAAAAGCGTGAGCCCTAAACGAGAGAAAACAATTGGGCAGAACTAAATAAAATGGAATTTTGAAAGGGGATCAGAGGTTATGAAGCCTGCGTATCACAGATAAGACGTCAAAAGACAAATTTAAAAAGCAGGCAACATATCCTAAGGGTGATTCAACATTATTCAAGTAGGAATATTGGAACCACCCTTATAGAAAATGCCAAAAAGTTGAAACTAAAAATACCACAAGCACAACAATAATGTCGTGCTGAACGATCTTCAAGGATCGAAAAATATAACATCATTGCTTAAATGTACGGGGAGACTTTTTACAAGCCGCCACACGGCACAAATAACAACGGATGTGATCATAAAATAGATAAATACAGAATCCCTAAAGAAAGCCCAACACGGCAAAATTGAAAATGTTGCAGGCTCGGTTTTGATTGAGCCTGTTCATGGACGGTACTGGAAAGTGCAAATTACCGTCCACGCCCCCTAGCACCGGCTTAAGCAGAATTCAACATTTAAACGTGAAATAGTAAAAATTTTGAAATTTAGAAACATCCGCAGATGTGTTCATACGGCGGTTATCATGGAACCTTCAATGTGACACTTCCGTGCCATTCCATGAAAAGCGGCGTATGGTCCCCAAGTAATAAAAAGCGTGAGCCCTAAACGAGAAAACAATGGGCAGAACTAAATAAAATGGAATTTTGAAGGGGATCAGAGGTTATGAAGCCTGCGTATCACAGATAAGACGTCAAAAAGACAAATTTAAAAAAGCAGGCAACATATCCTAAGGGTGATTCAACATTATTCAAGTAGGAATATTGGAACCACCCTTAATAGAAAATGCCGAAAAAGTTGAAACTAAAAATACCACAAGCACACAACAATAATGTCGTGCTGAACGATCTTCAAGGATCGAAAATATAACATCATTGATTAAAATGTACGGGGAGACTTTTTACAGCCGCCCACACGGCACAAATAACACGGATGTGATCAATAAAATAGATAAATACAGAATCCTAAAGAAAGCCCAACACGGCAAAATTGAAAATGTTGCAAGGCTCGGTTTTGATTGAGCCTGTTCATGGACGGTACTGGAAAGTGCAAATTACCGTCCACGCCCCCTAGCACCGGCTTAAGCAGAATTCAAACATTTAACACGTGAAATAGTAAAATTTTGAATTTAGAAACATCCGCAGATGTGTTCATACGGCGGTTATCATGGAACCTTCAATGTGACACTTCCGTGCCATTCCATGAAAAGCGGGCGTATGGTCCCCAAGTAATAAAAAAGCGTGTGCCCTAAACGAGAAAACAATGGGCGGAACTAAATAAAATGGAATTTTGAAAGGGGATCAGAGGTTATGAAGCCTGCGTATCACAGATAAGACGTCAAAAGACAATTTAAAAAGCAGGCAACATATCCTAAGGGTGATTCAACATTATTATTCAAGTAGGAATATTGGAACCACCCTTATAGAAAATGCCAAAAGTTGAAACTACTAAAATACCACAAGCACAACAATAATGTCGTGCTGAACGATCTTCAAGGATCGAAAATATAAATCATTGATTAAATGTACGGGGAGACTTTTTACAGCCGCCACACGGCACAAATAACACGGATGTGATCATAAAATAGATAAATACAGAATCCCTAAAGAAAGCCCAACACGGCAAAATTGAAAATGTTGCAGGCTCGGTTTGATTGAGCCTGTTCATGGACGGTACTGGAAAGTGCAAATTACCGTCCACGCCCCCTAGCAACCGGCTTAAGCAGAATTCAACATATAAACGTGAAATAGTAAAATTTTGAATTTAGAAACATCCGCAGATGTGTTCATACGGCGGTTATCATGGAACCTTCAATGTGAACTTCCGTGCCATTCCATGAAAAGCGGCGTATGGTCCCCAAGTAATAAAAAGCGTGAGCCCTAAAACGAGAAAACAATGGGGCAGAACTAAATAAAAATGGAATTTTGAAAGGGGATCAGATGGTTATGAAGCCTGCGTATCACAGATAAGACGTCAAAAGACAAATTTAAAAAGCACAGGCAACATATCCTAAGGGTGATTCAAGCATTATTCAAGTAGGATATTGGAACCACCCTTATAGAAAATGCCAAAAAGTTGAAACTAAAAATACCACAAGCACAACAATAATGTCGTGCTGAACGATCTTCAAGGATCGAAAATATAACATCATTGATTAAATGTACGGGGAGACTTTTTTACAGCCGCCACACGGCACAAATAACACGGATGTGATCATCATAAAATAGAAATGTTAATACGAATCCCTAAAGAAAGCCCAACACGGCAAAATTGAAAATGTTGGCAGGCTCGGTTTGATTGAGCCTGTTCATGGGGACGGTACTGGAAGTGCAAATTACCGTCCACGCCCCTAGCATCCCGGCTTAAGCAGAATTCAACATATAAACGTGAAATAGTAAAATTTTGAATTTAGAAACATCCGCAGATGTGTTCATACGGCGGTTATACGGGCGGTTTATATGTGTTTAAGCCTGCCGATTACGATTGACCTATATTTTAACAAAAAGAGAAAATGCATCGGTTGGCCGTTTATTTCAGATATTTAACTTCAAAACACATGTCCCTCACCTGTGACTGGAATAATACACAGCACGGAGGGGCAGCTGGGGCCTTCCGCTTTCAGTTAAGCTGAAAATGACTTGTACAGCGCCGTTGATATTTACAAATTAGTCAAACCCCAATACCCGCTATTTGTGGCAGAAATCCTTCCCATTATGATCTATGCTGAAGAAGAACATTTTTCAAAATTATTACAGTGTTTGTTTTATTAGCAATTTTCAAATGCGTACAAGGAAACTTTTATCTCACTTCCAGATTGCCTAAAGTTAGAAAAAAATGAAAATACATAATTAAATCGAAGCAATAATGCTTATTTTTGTTGAATATACAATACATATTGTCATCTGTTATAGCATGCTGACCTATTTATGTTAGCTTTCAATAATCTAGATCAGCTTACAATTATTTTATATTCATAAAAACAAAGAACAGCCTTTTCATAACAATAATAATGGATGTTTTAGAAGACGATTTTTTTTTCTAGATTGATAATCATTTTTTGAATAAATTGACAAATATAATTATGTAAATATAAATCATATCGTACAATCAAACACAATATTTATTTTCAATGAATGATATATTCTGTCCAAGAAAAAGATTCATATAGTCTAAAGTAACCATCAGCGTATCGATATAATATTGACATTTTATATCATTATTATTATTATTTTGGTACAATGTGTGTGAGTGTGTGTGTGGGGGGGGGGGGCTGGGGATACTGGCTTGCGTCGCACAAACACATATATGTCATATTGCCACATCGAGATTCACCGGTGGAAAATAACCCTCAGGTGTCTTTCTGTGCCATATTTTTTTGAAATTTTCATGAGTTATAAACAAAAACATTTTTGAAGGCAAGATACATCTACACTTAGTCTATTCAATAAGTTTTTTTAACAAGTGTATTATTTCATTTAAATTATCTCATTTAATAATACTTTATAAACACGTACATTGGCAGTTCAATATTTGATACTTGACGCACATATATATTTAATTTGTATAAGATCATGAAAACATTTAACGTACAATATTAAAGATATACTTATAATTTATGCGCACCATTATGCTCTTTATAGTCTATTACCATTGATGGTATTGATCCAAATAAACCAGAGTGGCCTATGTTTGAAAAGATATACATTAAAACTTAACATAATCATGACTTTTAAAAAAAAAATTCCAACCATGCATTTTGCTAAAAGATCACGTGTGATTAAATCATACAATTACACTAATTAATATTACATATGTTTAAGAAGTATATTTTCAAATTCTTTCTGAAATGATCTTGTCTTGTCACAAAGGTCTGGCATTTCCAAACAAACATTAACTGTAATTGTCTTATCACGTCAGACCATATTGAATCCATATCAAGTTTGTTTAATAGCAGCAGCATTGTTACTAAAAAGAACCAAATTTCCAATATTATCGCAATCAAAAGTCTCTTTCAATTCATTGTTATATAAAAGCGGTGAATTATTTTCAAAGAAGGAAACACAAAAACCAAAAATTATTAAAAATAGTATTCATTAAAGACATTCCGCTTTCGTGTACAGTTAAAAAAAAAACAAAAAAAAAACGTTTTCCAAATCAATCATTATTAAAAAATGAATAAAAGGAACGTAAAGGGCAATGGAAACATATTGTAAAATGATTTTGTAAAAAGTAAGACATTGGAAATCAAATAAAAGCACAATGAAATGCCCTGCTTGAAATAAAGAGTTCTATTATGATTTGCAAAATGTGTTTGTAAGTAATAACGACGCTTAATTATGTTCAATAAACACTTACCACGTAAAAACATGAAAAACGGATTTATATATTATTTTCCATAGTTTTCGCTTTAGAATGCAAGTTCTTTTTCATCATATTTAAGATAAAAAGTCCGTTTTTATCTCATGGCGCCATTGCATCGCACTGATTTCTTCATGTCAATACAATTCCAGAACAAAACATTTGTTATATTTCAAACTTGTATTATTGTTACGTAATACGTAAAGTAAATGTAAAAATCCCACATTATCAAATGA